AACCTTCTGTTGGGCTCGTTGAGTCGCTGAGTCGGCTCAAATTTGATTACTGACCGACTCAAATGTTTTATCGTTGAGAATGATCAATTACGGTCTTTCAAAAACATAACTTGAGACTAGTTAAGTGCTAAGCCTGATGCAAAATGTTCATCCATTAAGAATTATCGTATGAATTTTATTTCAGCGAGTCCTCAGGTAGGAAAATATTTTTATCTCCTAAATGACCTATAATTGTTCTACTAAGTTAGTTCTAGTAGTTTTTACTACTAGTGAACCCCCCCCCCTCCTTGTAAAGAAGACAAAATGGTGTCTGTAAGAGTAACTTTCTAATAAGATATTTGAGTTTAAATTCAGTCCAGGAATCATAATGTTCTTGAAAATGTCAGTAAAGAGCAAAAGATAACAATATATACAAATTACAATGGTTGAGACCCTTGGTAACATTTTTGTTTAAAAAAATAATTTTAACACCAATATATATGAATTTCAACCATCAATATCGTGACATTAAGCATAATATCACATAATATTATATCAATTTACATAAAAGTAATTGTAAATGTCAATACTGTGAGGAAATTTAGTACTCTGGGGAATAAGGTTGTTTTGACTTATAATGGCCAAAACATATGAAATTTCGTGCTATTTTTTCATCCTATGGAAGCTATATAAATATGATCAAGCAACAGAAAAAAAACTCGAGTTTTTCAATGAAAATTTACACAATGGGGTGTAAGTTTTGAAAATACCGATTAAACAAAAATATTTTTCTATAATACACATCAGTTAGTACCATCACAAATATAATGTTCAATAATTTATTTCTTGATGAAATTACAAATTTAAAATACTCGTCTCACCAGCTTCTGTTGGCATCGAGTTTTTCAATTTTCACAGAATAAAATCCGCTTCATTAAGGAAGGTCCCGTTTGGGGAATAGCTCTGATATTACTTTAATTAAAAATCAAAACATTTCAGACTTAGGGTTTGAAATTCTGACTTATTGCTTAAATATTCTCGTTAGGTATTTTCATGAATATATTTTCAACCCTGTTTACGACTGGATTACGTGAAGTTATTTGAATTCGTATTTTTATTAAAAGGTCCCATCGTTTGATAATTGGAATGGAGATATCCACTACTGTCATTTTTACAAAAATGATGATTCCTTCCATGAAATCAAAACATGTACTGAATCCCAAGTCGTCTGTACTAACTGTGTATATTTAAATATGAGTAGCATACTGCATTAAAACTCAGACACTGGACTAATTTTGAACCATTACATATTGACTTTCTCACAGGATAAAACTATTATTTAATAATGTCGTAGTTAACCATTATTACGTCCTTGCCGATATACTCAGATTAACATTATAACGTCATATTCCATGATTTCCTAACCAAGCTAAAAAATAAAAAGACTTTTCCACCACACTACAACGTTTTAGCCATTTTAAAAACGCCCAATTGTACTTTTTACAGTTCTCATTGTTTATCACAGTTTTTATGTTGCTGCTTAGTTCATATTATCTGTTTTAATAAATTCAAACAAAACAAAAGTTTTGGTAAGCTTCATAACTGAAATGCTACTAAACATCATGGAATCGACGAATCAACTAGTAAAGTGAAACATCTGCTAAGATTCTTTAATTCCTTTATGAATACTCATAAGGTCAACATGGGAAACTCCAGAGCCACTGGGACGGAGCCCAAAAGGATTTTGGAGGTAAGAATATGCCTACATGTTAATCGGGAATGTGAGCTATCATCAAGTTAAATTTCAGCGCAATCCAACCAGAAGTTGCTGCATGAGCTTAATTGTGCACCAAACAAACAAATTAACTTAGAAACAAACACACAAATCTCCACAATATTAGTATAATGACCTCTCAAAACAACTTTCAGTTTGTTTTCAATTTTACTAAATGCAAACAAGCAGTTGTTTAGTAAATGGTTAAATAACGTTGTATATTTGTTAGTGCACCTACTACCCATATGTCAAACTATTGACAAGAATGTTAGCTACAAAAGCTACTAAAACAACAAACAATATATTATTGATGCATAATTCCAATACATGCGATTGCTTACAATTCAAATTTACAACTGAGTTGACAACAGCTAAGTTTACTCCAGAGAAAACAGCTACACCCCAAATTACATGTAATAAAACTGCAGTTTATACTGCAGTATGACAAAAATCTTCATTTCATACTTGTACAAAATAAAAGAAAACCTCTTGAGCTGAGGAATGTAATTTATTCTTTACCTTAAAACAAGCATCCATGACAAGAGTTTAATTAAATCGGTATTAGGTTGGTCCCCAAATGAGGCTGGGTTTAATGAGGAGGCGAGTTTAAACTTGGAAGATTGAATATCTAAGCTCCTTAATAATGTCTCTTACTGAAAATGTTACCAAATTGTAAAATAAAAGTGTAGTTCAGAGAAAACATACATGGATTAGAAAAGTAAATAGATTCGAGGATAAGGATAGTTTGTGTTTTGAAGTGAAAATAATTTTGTAAACTATTGTGATTTATATTTAATAATTTATTAAATAATATTTAACTTGTGATTAATAATTTATTTAATGCTTCTACACTAGTATCTTTGTATTATTTTTTTATTGTTATTTTGTTTGTGTTTATTGTGGAAATAAATCTGATTTTATTTATTTTGATTTGATTTTGGAAAAAAAATTGTAAGTGTTTAAATTTGTGTGTTTGAAATATTAACAAGGTGTTTTGGTAATCACAAAATCATGAGACATTTAAACACTTACTCAATCAGAACATAAGTTGATTGGGGTTCTTACACAGAGTGCTAGAGTCAAATATTTTCTTTTATAGTTTTTAACAAGAGCTCGCCCCGTGGTCAAAAACTCTACCAAAAGTATGTATTTATTGAGTAACAAAAAATTGATATAAACATAAACTCAGCAGTAAGTGACATCATCGAAGTAGTAAGACACCGGTCGCCCATAATCACTGAGGTTCCTCTATGAGGTACGTGAGTGTTCAATGAGCACTGAGTGAAGTCGAGCACTAATTCATCGACTAATCCCTAGTTCAAACCACTCTAAAACATATGCCACATTTTACTATTATATGCCAAAGTTAATAAAATTAACTACTATACTACAAGAAAAAACACCCCTACAGAAAATATAAGTGTGTGACTGAGAAACGACAGATCCACTATGTTCAATGGATTGCACAACGCAAACTGAGAAGAATGTTTCTCCACACAAAATATCCCCCTCCTCCTAGCAAGCCTGGGATCGCACTTAGCTATTGATGTGGGTTGGCTGGGAAGCGGGCATCCGAAGAGCACTTGCCAAGGGACCGCGATGGGAAGACGACTGTTGGCGACCCACGTACATTAAAAGTGTTAATGCTTCACAGCATACAAAGTGGTAACTACTACAGCTTCTACAATCATAATCAACAAAGCACAGTCAAACTCAAAGAACACATGAGGATGATAAACATAACAATCTTCCACAGAGGATATACAGTTCATTAATTTGTTTTTGATACGAAAACCGTTAAAGATGAACATTGTTTTTTTTGTAGAAATTACAAAAACCTCTCTTCTTGCAGAATGCCAGCTTTGCAACAAACTCAACATTATAACAAACATCGTGGCCAAATATGTTGAGGTCGTGAGTGCTAAAGCATTCTTTAGCGTCAAACTTCTCTCTCCGAGTTTGAAAACTGTGAAAAAAGAATATGAAGACTGTAAAATAATCAATATACATGGGAGGTAATATACTCTATTTATTTTTAAATGTAGTTTCTTCAAACGTGAGTAAGTTGTAGAGATATATTTCAATTGCAGGATTCTTGTATTTGATCGGCTACTACATGCTTCAAGAATGTCTGCAATGTTGCTTCGGTCTATAAAATCTTCTGTGGAAAGAGCTACAACTTCTTCGGTTATGCGATCTAAGATAATAGTTTGGAAGGACCGCAGTACGCTAATGTTGTAGAAAATTGAACACCAAAACAGAATTGCCGGAAGAAACATAAAAGCTGTTACTATCTCTTTTCCATCCATTTTTATCTTAAACCTTTCAGTATACACTTCCAGTTTAGTGGAAAAAGTCATCAGATGAGCTACTGCGTACGCAACAGACATTATTACAGAAACAATCCCAAACCGTGTACTTGAGGTTTCTAACTTGAGATTATTTACTAAAATAACCAATTCTGAACACATTTCACAAATCATTTTTCTCCGACACATCACAACCACGATCATGAAGAAGCTAGGAAGCCAAATCAAAAATGAAGCGAAGTAGACGTCACTTAGTCCTACTTTCAACACTTGATCAATTTCCAGATGGTAGAGTCCTAGTAAACCAACAGAACCGTAAGTTGTTACTGTCAAAACAGTGAAGAGGTATTGTAGCGAGGAAAATCGTGATCTTTGGTCTAGAATCGGTACACCAGTGACAACGAAAGAAATCAACGCTGTTTGCAAAAGTAAAGAACCAGAAACCTCCATGATAGCTATACAAGTCTGAGAAACAATTTTATAAACAGTTTTTTTTTTGTTTAATTGATGTTTTCAATAATAATATTATAGTAGAGACATCACTACAAAGTTTGCATAGTTGTTGATATGCCACAATGTACCTCAGTGGTACTATAAATAGAAATTAAGTACCTCTTCAATTACATGCAGTATTTGACATTTTGCATTATCCCTCTATGCTTATTGACACAAAATTTAGAATATTGTACACTATATTATAATTGATTAGTTATAAATATATATAATAACTCCAAATAACATTTTTATTCCATCGTTTTAATAAACTACATTAATAATAACATTAGATTAGGAATTATTATCGCTTAATCATTTATATGTATTTTTTGAGTATGCACAAATAACAAGCTTCAAAACCCTGATTGAAAGTTTTACCAGTTTTCTATTGGTATTATTTATTTTAACTCTCATCTGTTTTTTATGTGATATCAAAAATAAATAAACACTGAAAGTTGTTGTCAAACCTATACATTACAAACAACATTAGATGGAATATAAAATGGCAAATTTTAGAGCTTCTCTAATGGTAAGTACTTCAAAACATTGATTAATTATTATTACAGTAGGTATAAGTACAGTACGGTACTACAAAAGTAAATTGTTAAGTTATTTGTTTTTGTGCAAACAATGAAAATGTACATTTCCTTCTAAAACCACATTGATGTTAATTACAACGTATAAAACAATTAAACACGATTGAAATGTAGATCAAAATTTAATTCATAAAATAATTACTAAGCCTAATTTGTAAAAGTTGTTATATGTTAAGCTTAGGTATACTCTTTGTTTATATAAGATCGTATTTGGTAATAAGTTTAGTTCAAACAGCCTTCTACTTTCAAAACTACAAGTCTTAATAGTCAATCCTAATCCTGTGTTTTAGGTAATACTAAGTAGAGTTAACATACAAAGAAATGTGATTCAACAATGGCCAAAAGGTTTATGGACTGAACACAAAGTAAAATCAGGTAAAAACATTTTCCTAGTTCATTTAGTATTACTAGGAGTAAATTTATGATAGCCATCCCTAATCGTTCTTTTATTAACCTAATTATTTTTCCTAATCCTCACAAGAATCTATAGAAGTAATTTAACCCTATAAAAAACTGCATCATGTGAATTTTAAATTAAAAATAGTGTAGCATCATTAAGAAAAATTACACTAGAGTATGCAATGATTGAGAACTGAAGAGCTAAAACTGTATATCTAGTCTCATTAACCACATTGGCATTTTTGTACACTGTATTGGGTAGAGTCAATGGAACTTCAGGTACATGATACAATGCACAACTGTAGCCTATAACACCTATGAGCTCTGCCTAAACAGATATCAAATGACATGATAATTGATTCACAAAATTTTGACAAATTCATATAATTTCAGAAAAGCTGTACCATCTCATGCCATCTCTTGATCAAAGTGAAAGCAAACTCACTTGGTTGAAAGCTATTGGCATTCACAATGGAGAAGTAACCAAATCTTGTCCAGTTGGATCAACAAGGTCTTTAATTAATCTTGAATCATCTTCAAGAGGTATCATGCCCCAGAACCTATTTCCCCTATTCGTTCTCATTCCTGGGATTTTGGAGGAAATGGAATCCACCTTTCTGCGCTACAACTTTGAATTGGAAGTCATGTCTTTTGTAAATGGTTATGTAAGTATTTTACTGTTTAATAATTTATAGTTGGCATTTACACACTGAATTATCACTGATATTGCCATTTTCCACTATAGTCATATTTTATACTAAAATGAATTTTAGTAGGGTATCACGATCATTGCTTCTATTATTATGTGTACTTAGAATTCTTGTACATGCCAGCTAATTATTAATAAAAAACTTTATACATGAAAAACGGTGACAGTGAAGCAGCATACAAAAACATTTTCTCTGTCAACAAAGTAACATGACAGGCTTTGAGATATGAAAATGCAAAATGCACCTTCAGGATCTGTGTATTTTAATGAGTAGGGCTCTCACCGACGGATAAAAAAAGCATTATTAAAAATCATTAAAGCACTATTAATTTACGTATCGACCTAAAACCCTTATAGAAGGGTTTTAGGTCTGATCTGTAAATTGGAAGCGCTCTCAGATCTACTGTACAGAGATAAAGTCAATTAAGTAGTGTATGCATTTATCAGATAAAATACAGGACAAACCATAAGATGCAGCGTAAGGTACCACATAATGTAAGATATAATAAAAGTAAAGGAGGAATAGGAAAGCAACATCCAACCATTAGACGCTTGCAGTGGCTATTATCAAAATGGCAGTTATTGTAAAAGGATGAAAGATGGAGGAAGCTGCACTAAAAGCATTCTCTTTTATCTCACATTTTCTGCGTGGATGTAAAACACTTTTGTCAACCCATCAAAATGTTCTGGTTCACTTTTAACTTTTACGCAAAATGACTTTATGTGCATTAGTGCAAAGTGTATGTGAATTCATTCTCGCTATATCTTAATGTGGGTTTCACAACTGAATATTTCCAACCACAATTTATGTTCACTTCAATTCTATTCAATTATCAACAATCATTTGAGATGGGGACACTATGTACACCTAGGTGCTATTTAACCCCAAATATGAGTGAAGGTTGAGTGTCAAATGGAGTGAGATAATCTGTGTAGCTTTGTTACTGACTAAGATCAGCTGTTTCATAAGCCAGGATCATTTATTTAAAACCTAAACAGGAACAGCTGGGTCCAGTTTTAATCATAACAAAGCTATACTGAGTTTTGTGTTGGGATTTGAAATAATTAATTATGGGTAGGTGTCTATGTTGTTAATAATACTAGTGTACATGTTGCTTGAAATCAAGAAAGTGCAAAGTATTACAGGAGTTTCTTGAAAACGACTGACGGTAATAACTAAAATTATCGATGAGTTTAAGAGTCAATTCAAACTACTCAATGATTAAAACTAATGGAAATACTCACGATGTTCATAGCAGGTTAATGAAATCAACATTTCTTGTAAATAAATATCTTATCATTTTTCAAAAGCTGATCTCGTTTTTAGTGTTTTCTAAAAATGTTTCCCACTTACAGCCGCATTAGGTTGTGCATGTTTATCTAGATAATTTACACATTGACAGTTTACAATTAACATATGTTCTTCTTCTCACTTTTAATTTCTGACAACAGCTTGAGTTTCATAACAATGTTTCTTTCCAATGTTAATCTTAACTTTAAAGGGCCCCCCATTTTCAGGGCCACACTCTCTAATTATTTCCCAAAAAGAAAGTTTCCTGCACAAATTCACGTTACGCTCTTTCCAATGACACTAAAAACATGTTAATCGGTTCAGTAGTTTTAGAGGAGTAATTGCCACAAAAAACCTGCTTGCGTATTAAAAAGTATGGATTTCTAATTAAAAAGTATGGATTTCTAATAGTTCTATACATTGTTTTTTTATCGAAAGGAGTTTTACTTTTGCTTTAAAACGCATAAAGTTTATTTTATTAACTGGTTAAAAAATTTATGTCTACAGATTTCTAACCAAAAAGTGTATTTAGTTTATAAAGTATGGCAAGTATGGTAAGGCAACGCTTACTTTTGATTTGAACTATTGTTTAAACCTAAACTTGAAATGTCTATAATCTGTAAAAACGGTTCCTTAAATTTTTAAGATAAACATTAAAACAGGCAGGTTTGCTGTTTTAATGAGGCTTGTTGAGGTTCTTCAAAATTTTTTTGAAGGGAGGACGAGCCCCTCACTATCAACCATTGACTGTTAGATTTTCACCATGTATAGAACATATGTACTCACAATTATACTATTTGTCCTTATGGATTAGCCAAAGACTATTTTAAGGTATATTCTGTTTGTTATAGGTAACTGTTATGATGGTTACTTTACGTGTGTTTTATTTGTGTAATTTCTTATTAGTTTGACAACTTTATAACTACTTAAGAAAACAAGACAATCTAATTATAAAATGGTGCTCCTTTATAGGAATTCTGACCGAAAATCCAATGAAATCCGTCCTTATAATTGTATAACAACTTTTAGATGACACAACCATTCAAACCCAAAATAAAACACGCACATCAAAACAGGTTGAAATTTTAACCAGCAATAATTCTTTAAGATGACTACTAAACAAGGGAACAATTTCACATTACTATAGATTGCATTTTAGTTGGTAATTTTAACCATTTTATTATAACATATCTCATGTTTGTTTAACAGAACTGTCAAAGCCAGAATACTTGTTCAACTTCTGCAATGAATGTCTCCAATTTGGTTTCCAAAAATCACAACTCTCTGATGCGCTCATTGGAGGAAAATTTAGTTAAAGGTAATGGAAAACAAAACTGTCTGGGAAATACAGCTGATGCTATCATGATAAGCGGACCAATACTATCTATCGGCCCTATTGATTTTAACGAGCTCGCAAGTCGTCTTGGTAAAGCTTTACAAAGCTGGATGGGCTTTGGCCCCAAGGAAAAGAAAAAGGAAGATATGAAAGAAGCAGAAAAGGAAGAGGTGAAAGTAGCAGAAAATCTTGAAAAGTCAACAGAATCAGAAAAACAGATGGCAGAAAAAAGCCCAGAAGGTGGTAAAAAGGAGTGATTATTCATAGAGTATTTATGAAATTATTTAAAGATCTAAATTAATATTAAAAATTATGTTTTTTTATTTTTCCGAATATGTCTTGTAATTTTCCTTGTAGACAACTCCAAGCAAATTCATAATTTGAAATGTCTACTTAGAATCATGGGGTATTTTGGTGGCATTTTGTTGCACTTCCATATCTGTTGGCACGACCAACCGAATGGAAATAGCGATCGATACCTTACTAACCAAACGATATATGGAATTGAACAATCGGATAATCAATATTACTCATTTGGTTGTTTGTGTCAACAGGATATGGAAGTGTACCTGAATCATGTTATGATACAAAATTGAGATGGATAAATTAAACGCTGCAGTGACAAACACTAAATTGCAATTATTTGACATTCCAAAAGACACCTTAAAATAATAATACCGATATTTTCAAATTGTTTCAAGATATCGAAGCTATGCTAAAAATATTTTACTTAATCATTTTCTGGGTGGAAATAAAACCTTTTCTAAAGCTAAATATAGCCTCCATGAAAGCAATCGTAAATAAATACTGTAATGCTTGTTACAAATTATCTCTTGTAAATAGTTAATCATATTGGTTCATTTTCCTATTCAACTTAAATTGTTACTATATTTGGTGAGCGTTTATGATTCTGTGCTAAGTTGAATGAAATTAAAAAAGTTATGATTATAAACACATTTTTTTAATGTTTTGTTTTTCCTAATCTATATACCGTTGAATAATTTGCAGTAAAACTTTTTTTATCTTGAAAGGTGTTAAAAACACAAGCATTAAAAAGATTAAGAATGTTTGGTAGCTTGTTTATTGTACTCCATTAAACCTTTTTACTCAATACTAGTATACACTTGTGGTTACAACACTTGTACAAAAGATGTATAGAATACATTGTATAGAATGACTGTATGTATAGAATACATGTATAGAATACCTAAACAACATCGCGCCCAAACTACAGTTCACAATAGAAACAGAAGTCAATAATAAGATCAATTTTCTAGATATGACTATTGAGAAGGATAGTAAACTAAACTTCAGTATTTATAGAAAACCCACGACTTCAAGCCAAACAATACACGCCACTTCATACCATCCTATTTCTCAAAAACTTGCCGCCTACAATAGCCTAGTCTACAGGCTACTCAAATTTCCGCTTTCACCTGACAACTACAACAAAGAACTGAACATAATTAAACATATTGCTACCTCCAATGGATACAAACCAAGCATCATAGATAAAATAGTAACGAAATTAAAGAACAAACCAAATGAACCCGTATCAGATGAACCCGAGAAGAAATACATTTGTATAGAATACAGCCACATAGCTCACAATGGGCTCAACAAAGTTTTAAAGAATCATGGGCTTCAATTAAACTTCAGGACCACAAATAAGACTATAAAATCTCTGTCAAATAAAGTTACCGATGAAAATAAGCTTGAAAAATCTGGGGTCTACAAACTAAAATGCATGGATTGTCCTGATTTTTATATTGGACAAACTGGCAGGACCTTCACCCAACGGCACAAAGAACATCGCCCCGACCCCAGAGCAGACAAACAAAAATCCACTTTTGCCCAACATTTATTAGCGAATTTCCCTATAGGGAAGTAGCTATTACCGTAGGTCTCATGGTAAGACCTAAGCCCGGGACCGATTTACTTTTTCATTTTGATGTCCCCAGAGGCCAAAAACACCATTCGTTCAAATTTTTATATATCTATATATAGAGATATATATATATATCTAATATATAAAATTCTCGTGTCACAGTGTTTGTCTGCAAACTCCTCCGGAACGACTTCACCGATCGTTATGAAATTTGGTGTGTAAATTCTGTAGGTATGCGAATCGGACGTAAACTATTTCCCGTTTCGAAATTCTTAAAAGGGCTCCGCCCCAGTGGCTCTGGAGTTTCCCATGTTAACCTTATGAGAAATGGAATTAATGAATCTTAACAGCTGTTTCAATTAAACAAGTTGGTTCTGTTCTATGATGTTCAATAGCATTAAAGTTACAAGGATTAC